GACATTATTTTATATGTTCTTTCAATCCGCTTCATGTGTTTTGCTTATAATCTATCTTTTGTGGCTTATAATTATTCTTTCTAATCGTTCTTATTGTTAAAGATTGCTAAGCCGCAATTGATCGACTCTATTTATCCTATTGGTTCTTTGTCAATCATTTGATAAATATTACATCATGTAGATCATTACTCTTCCTAAATGTTTATCCTTTTCGGCTAATTTTTTATCCATCTACGCCAATTCATAATTAATTTGTTCGTTCTTAATATTTGGCAATTACATTTGGTGATTGAATTTTATCATCTTTTCATGCTTGATATTCGACCGTTTACAACATGCATATATGTAAAAATCAGCACATTTTGAAAAAATTTTATTTTGTTTCACTTCATGTTGGAAGATAAAAATTTTTTTTTATTTCCATATTTGTAACATGTATATCATTTTGAAATAAAGGTAAATAAATAAAAAAAAAAATTACCCTATTCATATTTATATACATTACGTCATTTCAATGAACAGATATTGTAATAACTGGGTTAAGCCTCGATATTTTCTAAGAAAGAAAAATAAATTAAAATTTCGTAATTAATGGGGGCTTATCGATTAAATAAATTCACGTGTAAAAAAAAAATTTTTTTTTTTTTTTCACAATTAACAAATTAAGATTTTCACCAAATTATTCCTTAAACGTATAAGTATGGCAAGCCGTACTAAGTCAAAAGGTTGATAACTTTTCATCATGTTTTATGATGATTTTTCATCATGTTTCATGATAACTTTTCATCATGTTTCATGATGACTTTTCATCATGTTTTATGATGACTTTTCATCATGTTTTATGATAACTTTTCATCATGTTGACATGACGACTTTTCATCATGTTGATCATATTTTTCATCATATTTTATGATGTTTTTCACCATGTGACATGAAATTTTTTTATCATGTGTTGAATAATCTTCATCATGTTTCCTAATATGAAATTTTAATTAACCAAAAATGTCTTGCCAAACTACTGGTTTTTTGATGTTCAGATTTAGAAAATAAGAAATTTTTTTTTTACAAACTTAGAAATTTACCGATTTTCTGGTATTTTGCCATTACACAAATATATATCACATAAAAAATTTTATCACATCACGTTAACAGTATATGAACAAAAGAAAAATAATTCAATAAAAACAATACATATACATAAATATAGGTTGTAAAATTTTTCGTATGGGAAGAGTTCGTATGGGATATCTTAATAAAGATTTTCTTTTTGTAGGGTTCATATGGGATATTTTTAATAAAAATTTTTTTTTTGAGATTTTCTAAGATTCATATAGGATATTTTTGATAAAGATTTTTTTTTTGAGATTTTCTTAGAGTTCATATGGGAAGATGTCTTTGACAGAAAAGCATTTTTTTGAGAGATTCTAGGGTTTGTATGGGATATTTTAAATAAAAATTTTTTTTTTTTGAGATTTTCTAAGATTCATATAGGATATTTTTAATAAAGATTTTTTTTTGAGATTGTTTTTAATTTGATAATTCATCAAATAACGTTGCGAGAACGTTTTTTAATATATAATTCAATAAAAAAAAAGTTCACAATGTTTTTTTCAATAATTCATTAAAAGCATAGCAAAAACGTTTTTTAATATAATTCAATAAAAAAATGGTTCGCAACGTTTTTTTTATTGAATTATACATTAAAAACATTCTCACGGCATTATTTGATGAATTATCAAAAAAACATTGCGAAACTTTTTTTTTATTGAATTAGTATACATTAACGTTCTCGCAGCTATTGATGACATCAGGAAATTTTTTATGCGCAGTAAATGCACAAAAAGGTTGCAAAATT